TCGGCCCGCCGACGCGATCGTGTCTGTTTTGCTTTCATATGATGACATTTTCCTGACAGAAGGGTGTCGGGAGAAACACCTCGCGCTGATCATACGTGACAAAATCCGCCGCGCCTAAACTAATTAAGAAAAGTCTCCTCGAAAGCTCCATACAATTCCTTATAACAAAATTATAAGGAATTGTATGGAGCTCTCCGGGATACTTACAGTGCAAGCCCTTTGTGTCCCCTCATGTAGGGAGGAATTTCTCGAGGGCCAATTTGTCAAATTTGTCGCTCGATCATTTGACTTTTCTTCAAAACGACAACTGAGTATTTTCTTCAACTTCCACTTTTCGTTTGTACATTTTATCGGTGCATGTTAAACCGCACAGAGAGCAGATTTGCTTAATATTTGCCGCAATTTTACCGCGCTAGCTTTTCTTTGCGTGCACCAACGGGCAAATGGTACATGGCTAACTGACCAATCAGAGCTCGCGCTTTACTTTTGTTATGTTATAAATAAACCTTGTATGCCGTAGTTTTTGTTTATTCTTAGGTATGCTTTCTGTCTTAAATACTTGAATTTTAGAGTTCTCTTTTTTCTTTTTTCTGCTACTAAGACATACTCTTCTCCTCTCCTGGGCGACTTTGAGTGATTAATTTCCTTGTGTCAAACCCTTACAGAAAATATGCAAGATCTACGTGAAGCAAGCGTACAAACTCCTATACCAAGGCCATCAAGAGAAGTACGGCAGCAGGAACGAGATTTCGAGAGGCAGGAAAAGGAGGAAGGAAACCTTCAAATGCAGCTGAGAGAGACACAGCAACGGGAAGAAAACTCACAAAGGCAGCTGAGAGAGATGCAGCAACGCGAAGGAAACCTGGAAAGGCAGTTGAAGGAGACACAGCAACGCGAAGGAAACTCACAAAGGCAGGTGAGGGAGACGCAGCAAAACTCACAAAGTCAGCTGAGGGAGACACAGCAACGTGAAGAAAACTTAGAAAGTAAGCTTAGGGAGATGCGGCAGCGATTTGAAAACTCCCAACAACGGGTTTCCACCTTAGAAAGACAGCTTAGAGACAAAGACCAGGAAGTAAATGAGCTTGTGTTAAGTCTTTCGTTAGCCCAGCAAACAATAAGTGAACAGCAACAACAGGAATCATGCGATTGGGTCATTTCCCGCGATGAAATTCAAATGACCAATTAATGCCTTGGCAGGGGAGGCTAAGGAAGTGTTTATGAAGGCGTGTATTGTGGCTGCACTGTAGCAGTAAAGCAAATTCATGATCTGATTCTTTCCCCTCATAATATTCGTCTTTTTGAGAGAGAAATAAATATTGCATCCAAATGCCGCCATCCTCACTTGCTTCAGTTTATCGGCGCCACTAATGATGAGGGAAACCCTCTGTTTGTGACGGAGCTGATGGAAAAAAGTTTGCGAGCTCTGTTAGAACAGCGGCAACTCTTCGAGATAGAAATACGTGTCATTCTTCGGGATGTAGCCCGAGCAATCAACTACCTTCATCAGAAGAAACCAGAGCCGGGATGTGAGCAGTGCTAATGTGTTGCTATGGCGACAAGGTGACCAATGGAGAGGCAAAGTGTCAGATTATTTATGGCACTGCTAATTTCATGCAGCAGACCATGACAGTGGCTCCTGGAGCTATGATTTACTGCGCACCTGAGGCACTTACACCAAACCAAACGGTCAAGGTGAGTTTTCTTGAATTTAGGGCTTTTCTGATTCAACACTGTTTCATCAACACGTTTTAGATTTAGAAGAAACGCGTTGGTGCATTGATCTTGAGCGCTGGTTGGTCGTTTACTCGCACAAAAGAAACCGTACCACACTATGTCCTTCTTCACCTTGGTGTAAAATTGGAAGCAGCAAATTGATGCTGATCTGTTTAGCTTTGTGTGAGCCAGACTAACATTCTGTGCTCATTCTCTTGCTGCTTAATTCCCGGCCAAACAGTGGTAACGGTGATAGTTTTTACCTTCACCGTTTGAGCTCAAACATTCATGGGTAATCTCGACTATTGATCGTTTTCCAGGGGTTTACACTCTACGCAACGAAAAGAAGCTGTGGACGTGTGGTTTTCTCATTAAATGTCTTAAAATTAATTTTATCCATTTAAAGATTTTTTAATCTGACCGAATACATGGAGGTTATCGTTAAAAATTCAAGTCTAATTACGCTTACAGGAATGCAGATTTGAATTTGATACTGGTTGCGTAGTTACAAAAAGAGGGAATGATCTAAAATGACCTAAAAATGTGCTACAGCGGTATCTAAAATAAATATTAAAATATGTCTCAAATAACCTTAAATTATTAAACTCAGGGTTCGTACGGGTCCTGGAAAACCTGGAAAGTCATGGAAATTTAAAATTTTAAAATCCAGGCCTGGAAAACCTGGAAAATATGCTTTGGTCCTTGAAAGTCCTGGAAAATTAGACTTTTCCTAGGACAGTGAATCAGTTTTTTATTTTCTTTGCTCACATGTTCAATTTTTTTTGCGGGCAAGGAATGAACGTGTAAAACATTGCAACACCGTACCTGTCGTTAATCCCAAACGTAACGGAACAGTTCAGAGTCTGGGCTCTAGCTACCCCTGCGGTTTTACGGCCCCCCTCCCCATATTCGAAAATTTTGTTGTTCCTATCTGGATGAGAATGTGGCCGTTGTTTCGTTCTGTTTTAAATCAAGTCAAAACGTGGTCAAAAGTATTGTTTCCGGCCCTTTGTGATTAAGCTGAATGAACAATGCCTGGGAAGTGTACTTTCAGCGAAAACTGGACTTCTCACGTGGCGTACAAAGACTGGATATTACGAGATTCAAGCTCTCAACACAAAGCACGTTGTCGCTTGTGCCAAAAATCGTTCGACTGCTCAAATATGGGGGAATCCGCCCTCAAAAGTCACATGGGAGGGAGGAAGCACAAAGAATTAGCAGCATTAATAGCTGAGCGGTCAGCGCCAATTACCCAGTTTATGTCTTCAAACGCAGCATCGTCATCTGGCTCTGACAAACCTGGTCCTTTGACATCTCGTGGCGTAGATTCCAGCCCTTCAGTACGTGATACAAGTGCTGAAACACCAAGCTCATCTGCTTCTCTTAAAGAAACGTTGGTATCATCTTATATGGCCAAAGAGGAAACACTGAAAGCCGAAATTCGTTGGACTTTGCATACGGTCGAAAAACACCATTCCTTTCACTCAAACGAAGGGATTGACAAAGTTTTCCAAGACATGTTTGGTGACAGTGCAATTGCTAAGAAGTTTTCCTGCGGTGAGAAAAAGTGCAGTTATATAGCTTGCTTTGGACTGGCCCCCTATTTTGGAAAGCTACTAAAAGAGAAAGTTGACATGGAGGATTCATTTGTGCTGCTGTTTGATGAAAGTTTGAACTTCATCACAAAGAACAAGCAGTTAGATGTCTTCATTCGTTTTTGGGATAGCAACAGAGTTGTGAGTCGGTACTGGATGTCACAGTTTCTTGGACACGCAACATCAGAGGACCTTCTGGAACACTTCAACAAGGCAACAGAAACATTAGACCTGCGAAAGTTGCTTCAGGTGTGTTTAAATTTGTGATTACACTTGGGGTCATACATTATGTATGGCATTTTGAATTGAAAAATTAGCTGTTTGTAGTTTTTTCCTGTAATGATTAAACTTGCCAGCCACCCCCGCCTTCCGAAGGCATAAATGAAGACTGGTCTCTGATATTCCTTTAACTCTTGCTGATAATGGGTGTGGCACGCAATACTGCAAAACAGTAATTAGGTACTGACAAAAACAGAGTGATGTTTAAATATCATATTTACTGATTGAGGATTGGTTCTGTATTACCAACAGCACTATAAATTCTCAATGCAATATATAATTAGTTTAATTACAACTGTGTGTTGAACAAGTCTAATGAAAGACCTTTTGTTGTTTGTTCTTGGTTCAGAACAAGCTTCTGTCCCCATTCTATTATCTTTTCCTTCTGGTTTTTATGCCTTGCCTACCTTTTCCTTTACTTTAAAGGTGTCAATGGATGGTCCTAATGTCCACTGGAAATTTGTAGATATGTTCTCCCATCAGCTGATCGACGAATACAGCACTTCCTTCCTCAACATAGGAAGCTGCGGCCTCCATATCATACATGGTGCATTTAAGCATGGCTCAGAGAGAACTGGATGGGAACTGGATAACTTTTTCAGTAGTATTTTCAAGTTATTTAAAGATACACCTGCAAGAAGGGATGATTACACCCGTGTAACTGGCAGCAGTGTATTTGCATTTAAGTTCTGCAAACACAGATGGGTAGAGAATGTCCCGGTAGCAGAGAGGGCCATAGAGATGTTGCCACATTTACTCAAGTATTTGAAGGTTGTGCAGGAGAAGAAGCTCCCAAACCCAACGACTCAGTCATTTCAGACTGTGAAGAACATGTTGCAAGATGTTTTGTTAGAGGTGAAAATAAACTTTTTCATCTCCATTGCAAAGGAAGTAACACCTTTTCTCACCATTTATCAAACTGATCGTGTCATGCTGCCTTTCTTGGGAGATGATTTGCATCGTATGCTCAAGTCCATTATGTCCAGGGTGATCAAAAATTCTGTTTTGAAGGAACATAGAGCAACACCCCAGTGCCTAATGAAGGTGGATATCAGCGACAAGAGCAATCAGTGCACGGCTTACAAGGTTGATCTTGGTTTTGTTGCCACTGAGCAATTGAAAAAGCTTGTGGCAGCAAAGAAAGTCACTGACAAGCAAGTACTTGAACTAAAAATGGAATGCAAGGAGTCAGTTTTAACAATTTTAAAACACCTTAGGCTAAAGTCACCATTGGGATACAGAACTGTGAGGGCATTGCAGTGTTTGAATCCCCAGATGTTGGTCAGCAAGCCAGAAAAATGCATTGAGAAGTTTCAAGTAGTTCTGAAGGCCCTAGTGAATACTAAGAAGTTAAAGGAATGTGATGTTGATGTAACAAAACAGCAGTTTGTGTCTTTCCTAGATGAAGAGGTCCCCCAGCGTGTTTCAAGGCTGAATTCCTTTGATCACACCAAAGAAGATCATCATATTGACAAGCTGTTTTATGACATGTTAGCCTCTAAGAAATCCTATGAGAAGTTGTGGGCTGCACTCAAGAGTCTATTGACCTTGTCCCATGGCCAAGCCACAGTGGAAAGGAGATTCTCCACAAACAAACAAGTCTCCATAGACAACTTACAGGAAAGGTCATTTGTTGCAATGAGACAAATTCAGGATCACATTCATACAGTGAAGGGGTCCCTAAATGTGAATATAACCAAGCAGATGATATCCTCGGTTGCTGCAGCAAGGCAAAGATACATGACGTACCTGGAAGAAGAGAGGAAGAAGAAACAGAAAGAGGCTTCCTCAATGAAAAGAAAATCATTGGTGGAGGAACTTGATGAGTTGAAAGCCAAGAAGAAGAGGCTTGAAAGTGAAGCTGCAGCACTGGTAAAGTCTGCAGATGACTACTCTGTGAAAGCAGAAAGTACAAAAAACATTGATAAAGTCAGGCAGTTGGTGGCACAGTCAAACAGTCATCGTAGTTCCTCAAAACGAAAACTTGAAGAAGCTTCTAAAATCGACAGCGAAATAGACTGTAAGCTGCAGGAGTTGAAAGACATCTGACTAGATAGCAGTTCCAGCTTAGAGTGTGAACATCGTATACTTATTTGCTACTGTTATAGTTTCCAGTGCTACTTCCATTAACAAGTTGTGCCCCACTGACACATACCTCATTCACTTTAAATGGTTTAATTTTGAACATTAGTAGGTACTTTAACATGAAGCTGCAGATTGTATTGTTTAAGAAACATTGGAATTATGTTCGTTGTTGCTGTCAGTGGACAGTTTTTCAGTTAGGATTTGTCTTAACTGAGTCTTGCCAATATGATTTAGATACGAAAAGCAACAATAAAGGTCATTGCTGTTACTGGATTTTATTTGCTCTTACAGAAACGTAGCAAAAAGGCTACATAGTTTTATTGGTTTGTTTAGATTGTTTCAGTTTTCCTGGCTATTCCTGGTCCTGGAATTTTGTAAATATGGTCCTGGAAAGTCCTGGAAAAGTCCTGGAATTTTGATGGACCAGTGGTGTACGAACCCTGTAATTAAAACTAATACAGGAAATAGGAATGTAATTTCGCTGACCGCGCATGTGGTTTCGAAAGAGTTCTTCTGTTAAAATATGTTTGTAACATGTTTCCTGAAGAATGCAACAAATTTACTTTGACACACAACACAATGGATTAGCATGACACGTAAGCCTCCTAGTCACGGGGCGCGGAGATGATGGCCCACTAAAAAGCCAGTTTACCTAACAAATCAGTTGCCATTAGATCTCACAGCGCACTTGTTGTACATCAATCAAAACTCCAAATGATCAAGTCCAATTGCAGCAGCTTACATATTCATGCCGAAATTTTATTTAGTCTGATCTCAGGTGTAATACAGTCGACAGGTAAACTCAAGATTTTTGCGCCATCAGCTCTACTCCAATCAAAACTGCGTTGCTGGGCGAACTTCTTTTCTTCATGTCATCATCTCCGCACCGCGTGACAAGAAGACTTACGTGACACACTAATCCTGCTCTTTGTCAACGTAAAGTTTATATTGAGTTGTTTATTAGGAAACCTTCAACGGTATAACTAAGAAGTAGGTGAGACCGAGAACTGTCCACAATGAGCCTGAACTTTTAGGTAGTTTCAATTGTTTCGAAACCACTTGCGAGGCCAGTAAAAAAAAATAAATTTGAAATGCGTGTGTCGTTCATAGGTTGATGTTTATAGCTTTGGTGTTCTTCTTTGTGAAATGTGCGTCCGGGAACTTCCAGATCCTAGAAGGCGTGAACAACAAGTTCTGGTCATGACGAACCATGTGTTGAGAGGCCTGGTACGGCGATGCCTGCAGACAGATCCTGAAGCGAGACCAACCATGCAGAGGATAATCGACGAACTATCAAGATCTGTGTAACGTCCATCAAGTATTTTGTCAGAATTTTGTGAAAACTTTCGTAGTTGATAGAGTTGAATCGCTAGAAATCTTTTGTGCGGAAATTCGTGTGTAGTCGTTTATCGTGACAACGTAGTTTACCCAAATGTTGCTAGAAAACAAATTACTCAGGTTGAAAACAGGTTTACAACTTATTTGCTTTTAATTTATTTTGTAAAAGCGATGTTCTTTTCTTCTATTACACTCAGGGAAGTGAGGCTTTTTCACGAGATCAAAGAGAAAACGAGGTCTTCTAGTCTCCGTAAGGTTTTAGTAATGGTGCCCAAAGGCCGTATATAATTTTCATTTACCGTCGTGGGAAATGGATTTCTTTAACCAGTATGTTTTGTTTTCTCAATGAATTTGGCCCTTTGTCTTTTTACAAAGTATGCGTACATAAGCATAAAAGACTAAATTAGAAAGAATAAATTTTGTGGATTATTGGGTGCGGTCAAAGAATTACTCATGACCGTTCCCGAGTTAAGTTCTATGGGTTAAAAAAAAAGAAAGCGGCTCAACCAATCATGAAAAAGTGAAATGCACCAAATAGTAGAAGCACGTGTTGTTCACGTGCTGAGTTGTTGGTGCTAAATACTACTCGAAGTTCGAAAACTCAGCAGGATTTTGAGCGCTGCTGTGAATGTTTTTACGTTTACTAATATCAAAAGCACCTTGAAACACTCTAAAGTATTCTTTACATCAGTGTTCAAGAATTCTTTCCTTATGAAGTCGTTGGAACTATTTTTGTAAATTAAACCCGTACTTTTGATTGTTGAGCGACAATTTGCCTCTGTCTACAACGACGTTTTCCCGCGATGCCAGGTTCAGGTTTGTTCTTCCCCCTCGGCGAATTTATCGCTGTGTAACTGCAAACATGAAAACCCAGAGTGAACCCAACCCAAGCGTTGTTTCCCATTTGAAACCTTGGGGTGGGGGGGGGTGGGGGGTAAAAAGTGACTGCACCTACTCTCACGTGACCTACATTGAGAAAACAAAGCATACAAGCTAAGGAGGTTTATAGCAAACGCTTGCTTGGGATTAACCTTGTTAATAGAGGTCAGGCTTGACTCAAGATCGCTGAGACGTCTATCCTTAGCCTACTTTATGTATACAGTGTATGATCGTTAGATCAGAAGTTTTTTCTTTTTGTTAAGACAACTGAACATGTGACTAACGACCATGAAAAAGTTGTATTCCTTCATAAGCAAATAGGTTACTTTTAAAATGTTTTAGTTTAATTCAGAAATTACTTTCTTCTGAAGAAGGTCCTGCGCACAAAGCAGAAAAAATTGATCCAAGATGTCGCGAAAATTGTGACAAATTTGAGGATGTTACACTGAATTAAATACGCGTAGTAGTTCGGTAGACATTTTTAGTTAAATTTTGCTATGCCAGTAGTAGGTAACTTACTCACAAAGCAAGGTGTACTTTAATTCCTATGTTACATACACAATTTACATATGACGTGAAATAGACAAAAAATTCAATTGGCTGAGCCGTTAAAGCTGTCGCGTAGTAAAGCCCACTAGGTATTTTTAATCAACGATTCCCACCTTAAAGGTAACTTACCTATAAAATAGAATTTTTTCTTAATTCATAGTTACTTACTCATTAACCAGATCACACGCGTGAAATAGACAATGTTACTGAAATAGGCATTATTGAGTGAAGACACAAGTATATATATAATGGCTTTTGAAACGTGTTAGGATATACAATTTAACATGCGTATCAGTAAGAAAATGTAATAAGAGTTTCCTATCCAATACGTTATTTTAAAAAAGTGGATTGCAAATCAATTCAGATATGACTTACACGTAGAATAGACAATATTAATTAAAGAAAACGAGTAGATTGGTCACTTATATGATATACTATAAGCGTTTCCTATTCAACAGATAACTCGACTTATAAAATAGGATTTTACCCAAATTCATATTACTCATATAAAGTGGGTCATACACTTAAAATAGACAATATCGAATAAAAGAAACGAGTACGAGTAGTTATTTCGCTTATTGCAAGTCTTAAGGGATATTCAATAAATATACAACTCTGGCGGCTTTTGAAGCAGAGGCAGAGGCGATTTGTCTCTTGTCGAGACTGGACTCGGTTTTGTTTCTTGTCTCGTGGCCGTTATGCGTTTACGGCCAATAATTCTGACGAAAACAGTGAAATGTAATGTACAGCTCCGCACAGCTGCTAAACACATCGTTTACGCTTCGTTAGTTGCCATGCATTTCTTGGAAATTGAAGCGTGTGAGTTAGCCGATTTATATCAAGACACTTGAAATTAAACCGAAGCATTCTGTTTGGGGGTAAACCCAGCGCTATGAGCTTAGAAGTTTCAATCTATCCACAGTGCCGACTGCAGTTTGAAGAGAGAAAGGTGCACTTTCATCGTGTTTGTTCAAAACAATGCCGTGTGATTTTAGATTTGACGAAAGGGATCAAGTTTTATTTAAAAAGAAGTTTGTTGCCTTGTTTTGGCTTTCGGAATCATAAAGGTGAAATGCTTCCCTTCAAGGCCTTCCAGAGTATGGGAAATCGTGGAAAAAGAGCTTTACACGTGAGAATTCTTTTGCAAATTAAATGTGCAGAACATTTAAACTTAATACATTTGTTCCAATGAATGGCGCTCGGTTTAGCTTGAAGTGGAGAGCTCATGCGTCGACAAAAAGGACGGGAACTTCCAGATCCTAGAAGGCGTGAACAACAAGTTCTGGTCATGACGAACCATGTGTTGAGAGGCCTGGTACGGCGATGCCTGCAGACAGATCCTGAAGCGAGACCAACCATGCAGAGGATAATCGATGAACTATCAAGATCCGTGTAACGTCCATCAAGTATTTTGTCAGAATTTTGTGAAAACTTTCGTAGTTGATAGAGTTGAATCGCTAGAAATCTTTTGTGCGGGAATTCGTGTGTAATGGGTTATAGTGACAACGTAGTTTATCCAAGTGTTGTGAGAAAACAAATTACTCAGGTTGAAAACAGGTTTACAACTTATTTGCTTTTAATTTATTTTGTAAAATCGATGTTCTTTTCTTCTATTACACTCAGGGAAGTGAGGCTTTTTCACGTGATCAAAGAGAAAGCGAGGTCTTCTAGTCTCCGTAAGGTTTTAGTAATGGTGCCCAAAGGCCGTATATAATTCTCATTTACCGTCGTGGGAAATGGATTTCTTTAACCAGAATGTTTTGTTTTCTCAATGAATTTAGCCCTTTGTCTTTTCATAAAGTATGCGTACATAAGCATAAAAGACTAAATTAGAAAGAATAAATTTTGTGGATTATTGGGTGCGGTCAAAGAATTACTCATGACCGTTCCCGGGTTAAGTTCTATGGGTTAACAAAAAAGAAAGCGGCTCAACCAATCATGAAAAAGTGAAATGCACCAAATAGTAGAAGCACGTGTTGTTTACGTGCTGAGTTGTTGGTGCTAAATACTACTCCAAGTTCGAAGACTCAGCAGGATTTTGAGCGCTGCTGTGAATGTTCTTACGTTTACTAATATCAAAAGCACCTTGAAACACTCTAAAGTATTCTTTACATCAGTGTTCAAGAATTCTTTCCTTATAAAGTCGTTGGAACTATTTTTGTAAA